CAGGTTATTATGCATACGTATAGAAGAAATATTCATGCAGTAAATAATAGCAAAAACAGCAAGGTGATAGAGGTGCATAAAGGTTTTAATAACATGTTAGACTACTTGAGAAAATGCAATTAGAATAATTACCCTGGAATAACTTTTTGTATACAGTAATAATAACAGTAATAATCATATAATTATGTAAATTAGTAGTAAACTGGAGAAAACTATTGGAGACAGGAGCTTCACAATTGGATAGGCTATGATAGTGGAAATCTGTTATAGCTAAAAGATTAAAAGGAAATATAAAATATAACATATATCCAAAGCAGGAGAGAAGTTAAAAACAAAGACAAGGATATGCCAAGACAATACTAGTGTATGATAGAAAGAATGAAAGTAAAGAAACCCAGAAGTAATCAAAATCTACAGCTTCCTACCGTCTGGTTAGTCAACACAAAAGTGGCTGTATGAGAAAGGATTCAATTTAACTTTCTAGCTATGGGATCAGTCAAATCCATGACCCAAATTGACTTTTATAGTTTCCATACTATAACATCTAATATGTCTTGTGTATCTTTATGAAATTTTGCTAGCTTTCGATAATCATTAAGTATTTGGAAGAGAAAAAATCAGAACTTTTAATGAAGCATTTTTAATAAAAATTTCTCCATGAATATATGGAGTCAAAGTGTTGACTGCTCAAAGTGCAAAGTGATTTTGATGTTAAGATTAAAAATACCTTTCTCAATCTGAAAAATTAAATTTTATTTGTGTAATCTCTAAAACATCCCAAATAAATATCAAACATTTTTTTTGCAGTAAAACTTTATATTTGTTATTTTCTCTGCCCTAACTCTATACAGGGTCAGTAAATTTGACCGATGTCATATCAACCATAAAAAACATGAAATAAATCTAAATTACCCTTTTTTTCTTTCTAGAATGACTTCACCTTGTAACATGAAACTATATTTCTTTATCTTAAATAACTTTAAATTTGTAACAGTATACATCTGTCTCTACTTAAATATTTTGTTTTATTGCTCTTTGAACCATGTTTAACAATATTCTCCCCACAGAAGTTGTAAATTATTTGGAGAACATGTAGCTGTTGTTAACCTGTTGAATTACATAATGCCTGGGCTACTCATGATATGCTCATGAGCATACCTCAGGATAAATTATTATTATTCTTTATTTTACTTAATCTAACTTAATAAGTTAAGAATACACACAAAAAACTAGAAGTAATTTAACTACCTGATTCTTTTTTTTTACTGTCGACTGTAGAGGAAACTTAACCCTACTTTTTTACACGAATGGTACTACTGCAATAAATAATTTTATATTTAATTAAATAATGCACCAATGAACACAGAAAAATAACATGAAAAATGCAGACAATGTCCTACAGTTATCAAAATTTTTCTTGCTTTCTAACTAAGTGAGAAGAGCCATTAAAAATTGAGCTAAGCTTGTTGATATGTTTCCTGTGGGAATCAAGTTTGAACTGGAAGAGAAATAGACAATTCTCTGTACAGAAAACCTTGGCTTTCTATTGGTTATAAATAATATAGTACTAAACTTCAGAGACAACTATTTGCAATTTGTGAAAGACAGGATGTGATAGGTGGGTGTGGCAAGAGGGTCTGATTTTCTAGTTTATAGCTCTGTAATCAAATAAAATTGAAGGCTATAAAAAATTATGCTTTGCCTGAGGGATGACAACATTATAACAAAGTAATTTACCTTAAATTTTGTATTTCAAGGAAGTGTGGTAAATAAATAAGAGAAGAGGGGATACCTAAAGAGCAAATGTCACAATTCTCATACTAGGAGAAATTGAGAATTTATTTTATATTGACTTATAAAATTAAAAACTAATAAGTGATATAAATAAAAATTTGGATGTTATAATTTTCCTACAGTGAAAATGCATTTCCAGTAGATACTTATGTCAAAGAGTAGCTTTTCTCATTCAGTGCTAAAAATATAGGTTTAATCTTTTAACCCCCTTAAAATGTCCAAAAATGAGCATATTCATATTTTTGTAAATATATCTATGGTGTCTGTGAAAAAGTATCTTTATAACATATCCCTTGTAAATTGACCAAAATATGTGGGAATAATTGTTAAAAACACTAAAATTATAATTTTATCTACCATTTTTGTTTGTTAATGTGTGGAACCTGTAGAAAATTATCTTTGTACCAAATCCCATGTAAATTGGTCAAAATATGGTCGAGCAATTGTCCAAAACTCCAAAATTAAGCATGATGTTGACTTAAAATTCTTAGAAAATTTGATTAAAATTTAATTACAAACCAATAGCAAAACAATACGGAGAATGATGTAGAAAACTCTGGTCATTAATCACTACACGTTAAAAGTAATTGTCTTCATTATCAAATAATGCAAAAATTGAAAGTCCTAAATTCACAGTGAAACAACAAAGGTGTAAGAAAATCAGTGCAGTGCAAGAAAAGTAAAATAAAATAAAGTTGAATGACGACAAAAAGGTCTTAATACGAAGCACCAAAAACAATGTGAAAAACTCTCCAATGGAGGAAATTTCCGATTTGGTAGCTTTTGATAAAATATAAGCAATAGTATTAAATACAATGGTCAAATCGAGTCAAGAATATATAATAACAACATATAAGCATGATGAAGATATCATTCTGAAAATGTTTACTTTCATGAACAATTCTTAGTAGTAAAGGAAAATATCCAGATCCCATAAACATTTTGGGACATCTTCAAGAGAGAAAGAAGAATTTGATGGGAGAGAAAGCTTGGCTCTATAATATTGAAATATCAATTAACTAATCATCTGTTTAAACCTTTGAACTCCTTTCTTTAAACCACTTTCTGTGCATGTCATGTACTGAGTTAAATTTAAAATTGAATTAAACCACTTTTCTATAAACGTATTTTAATGAAATTACTATTATCAAGTACCTGATGATGACAAACCTTGTCGAAACATTGTACATTTGCTGTTATGTTAAACTTATATCAAAGTTTTTCTTCATTACCCATTCAAGCCGTCTCCAGCCATTATTATTATCAAGTGTGTTATAATTTAAGGTTTTATATTATCTAAGTTTTATTCCTTTATTTTAAAAAGAAAAATCTGAAACAGCAATTAAAACCGCAGTTTTTGCTTTCACATGATCCACTGTGGTTAAAATTTTCAAGTTTAAGAGGTCTTACACAAAAAACTTGTTTCTAGTATAGACTGTCAGTAGAGACGGTCAAAGTAAAGTTCCAGCTGTCTCTCACTATAGGTTTAACTTGTAGTTGTGCGAGTGTTTGGAATTTGTGCTTGAGACTCGCCCTATAATAAACAACAGAGCACCGCATGGGACATGTTGTGGATCTTGGGATAATGAATAAAAGACAAAGAATTGGAAAGCAAAATTAAAAATAAACCACAGGTGAAAAGATAAAGACTTGAAATTATGCATATGACAAAAAGAAATATT